CGCTGGTCTGGTCCCGGTGTGGAGGAGAGGGGAGAAGTCACACGCATGCGCACTACGCAGCGCGTGGGTCAGGCAGAGGAGGCCGGGACCCAGCAAAGCGAACCTTACTACGCCTCTGGGGACTCGGTGAAGTCCACCGTCTAGTTGAAGTAGGTGGGTCTGATTGTGTTCTGCTCGGGGGAGAGGTCGAGCACCCATGTCTTTAAGAGCTTCCTGGGTGGTCCTAGGATTGCCAGGCCTGAGGTGCCTCTGAGGGTCCAGACCGCGGGTGACAGAGTTGGAGGGGCGTCGGCCCCTGTGTCGGGAGGACCCGCCTCTCGGGACGCCCTGTAGTGGCCAGCCTAGGGAGTGGGCGGGGGAACCTCTGGGATCTGAGTAGCTTCCCAACCTTCCCCCAAGACACAACCTCGGGAGTGGGGGGAGTGAAGTGAGTCCCTCAGCCCGACTTCCGGTTTAAATTGCTGTGGTGGTAGTGGAGGAGGGGACACTGGCCGACCAGATCCGAAGCTTTCCCTGTGACTTTAGTTGCTGGGAAATTTAAAGCTGTGTAGATCATGGTTTGCAAACCTTTTTGCTAGCTTGCTCTGATTTTACCCATGTGATTTTTACCTGTTTTTATCTTTTTAGTGTATATATTTTTGTAAGATAGCTGAAATCTTTTGTGTAATAAAGTGGCATGAAAAATATATCAATAACTAAGTAACTATGCACTTAGTAATAAGTTTTAAAAAATCTTCCTCTTGTGCAGTCTTTATGAACCTAGTTATGAAGTATTATGTTTAAAATAGACCAGTCTAATTTTAATGATGTTTATAGTTTCCAGATTTGGCTCTTAGTAAATAAAGGCATAATTTATTTGAGCACAAAGCTTTATCTTTAGAGTTATTTCTTTAGGCCATATGCCCCAGAAGTGGACTTTATTGGCTGGAAGAAGCAAGCGTAACACAGCCTGCCGACCCTCTATATTGGTGGGCTCTGCATCAGTGAAATCACCTAACTGAGCATTAGAAATATTTCTGCCTGGCAGCACAATATTCAATCCCCAGTGGGTGAAAAAAAAAAATTGGGGGGGAGAATGATGTCTGTACTTATCATAGTATTTATATTGTATTAAGTATTGAGTGATACAGAGTTGATTTAAAATATTTGAGTAGGAATAACGTAATTTAAAGAGTACAATTTTTAAAAGATAGGAAACAGGGAAGAAGAATGGATGGAAGGGGATATGATGGAGAGGAGGGGAGTAAAAGTAATCGAGATGTGATGGATGCATGTGATTATTATCATAAACATACACTAATGAAAAGAGTATATGGGTAGATTACATACAGATGCTGCACCATTTTATGTAAGCATCTTGAGCTTGTAAGATTTTTGGTGTCTGTGGGAGTCTTGGATCAATCCCCCATGGATACAGAGGGAAGACTGTACTTCCCAGATTACTGAAAGTTAAGCTGTTTTAATTTAGTACCTTGTAAATTAGGTAAACCTAATTTTTAAAACTCTGTGGTTACCACAAACCCCCTAACATTAAGTTCTGAGCCATATATTTGAGAATCTTTATATTGCCTATCATAGTTTTAAATTTTTAGGTGTTAAATTTTTTAAAACCTGTTAAATTTTAAAAAACTTGAATTCCTTGTTTCTTATGTGTATTATGGTTAATTATTTTGTGGTAGCTACATACAAGCAAGCTGAAAGCTGTCATGACTTTCCTATGTAGGAACACTTACCTTGCATGCATTCTTAGTGAACAATATATTAGATTCCTAGTAATTTTGGCCTTCAGCTGGGTTTGGAGGGTGATGCAAGGACCTCCATAATCCTGCTTGTGACTGCTCTTATGGATTGTGTTTAGATGTTCCTCCAAAGCCTCGTGCTTTTCCAGAGGTGGTTGAATCTGTAGTGTGTGATTCAGTAATTTTTTTTTTTTTTTGGTATCGGGAATCGAACTCAGGTCCCTGCACTTGCAAAAGCAGGTGCCAGAACCACTGAGCTAAATCCCTGGCCCTGGAGTGTGTGACTGATTCATGGTGGGGCTGGTCTGAGGGCACTAGGATTAACGGTGAGAGTATTACCTGCCTAAGTAGTCTCAATAAGATAAAAAAGTCAGACACTTGTAAGCGCCCTTGTTACCTTTGCCATGTTTCTTCTCCTCTGCAAGGCCTGTTTGTCATCCCTGTGTTAGGGACAGCAGATTACAGACTGAAACCTCTATGAACTGTAAGCCAAAAAAACCCTTTCCCTCTAACTTCAGTTGTTGAGTATTTTGTCTCAGCAATGAGAGAAAAGTAACACAATTGCCTTGTAAGGGGGCATAAGAAGGCCTCAGCATAGTCCCCACCTTCCCCCCATGCAAGGGCTCTGTCCTTCCTGCTTTCCATATGCTTTCTGCTCAAAAAATGCTTTCCTCTGACACTTTGCCTGGAATACTGTTTGTTCTTTGAAAACCAACTCCTATGAAACAGAATGTCCAGTGTGAGCTCACTTTTAGCTGTATATATGTATAACATACACAGTGACAACACAGATGCCATCTGAGAAATATGTTGGTGAAGCATATGACTTTGTGTGAATACCATAAAGTGTGCTTTGGCATTCCATGTTGGCTATGATATTACTAGGTCATAGGAACTTTTTCTCCCCCTTTTTTTGCAATAGTTGGAATTAGAGTCAGAGCCTTGTCACTGAGCTACCCTGTAGCCCTTTATTTTAATTTTTCTTTTGGTACTGGGGATCAAACTTGGGACTTTCCGCTTGCAAGGCCCTTTAAAATTTTTTGAGACAAGGACTTGCTAATTTGCCCAGGCTGGGCTAGCCATTATATCTTCCTTGCCCATAGGCTGTAGAATTTTTTGTTTGTTTGTTTGTTTTTGTGTTTTGAGACAGGGTCTCACTATATAGTTGAGACTGATCTGGAATTCACTATGTTGCCCAGACTGGTCTTGAACTCATGTGATCCTGCCTCAGCCTCCCCAGTGCTGGGATTACAGGTGTGCGCCACCACACCTGGCCATAAGATTTTTTTTTTTTAAGAAAGAAATAACCATAAATGTATTTAAAGAACAGTAAAGCTTTTATAAAATTGAACGCAATGCTTCAAAAGAAATAAGGAAATTTTCTCTAATCGTTAAATGAACGTTTTTTTTTTACTTTTTATTTTACTGGTATATTTTAGATATACATAATGATAACATTCATCATAGTGAATTTGTACCTGTACATGATATATCTTGCTTCTTTTTTCCCATTACCCTCCCTTCCCTTCAACCCTCGCTTATCTACAAAAGCCTTTTTTCCATTTTTTTCCTTCCATTATGTTTTTTTCTTGTCCCTTCTCTCCTCCCCAGCCCCTTTGTTCTTCTTCTCATTTGAGCGTTTTCTCCCCATTTCCCAATATCTATTATACATTTTGGTCCTTATTTACACTTTTAGTTTCTTATACCGGAGAAACCCTGTGATATTTACACGTGTGTGATTTATTTCACTTAAGAGTAAGGTCTTCCATTTAGAAGAGTAAGAGCGTCCGTTTAGATAGAAGTGTCTTAAACTTATCCTTTATGGCAGAGTATTAAAAAAAAAAAATTCATCAGTTGATGGACATTTGGGCTGTTTCCAAGATTTAGCTGTAACAAACAGTGCTGCTATAAATATGGGTGTGCATGTATCACTGTGGTATGATGCTTTTGATTCTTTTGGGAAGATACCCAGAAGAAGAATAGCTGGGTCAAATGGAACCTCTAGTTTTAATTTTTTGAGAAATCTCCACACTAATTTCCACAGTGGCTGCACCAGTCTACACTCCCTCCAACAGTGAAGAAGGATTCCATTTTTCCCACAACCCCACCAGTATTTGTTATTGGTTGATTTTTTTTTTTTTTTTTTTTTTTTTTTTTTTTTGGTAGCAGGGATTGAACTTGGGTCCTTGTGCTTGCAAGGCAGGCCACCGAACCGCTGAGCTAAATCCCTGGCCCTATTGGTTGATTTCTTGATAAAAGCCATTCTTTTTGGAGTGAGATGAAATCTTAAGTTTTTGTTTATGCATTTTGGGGTTTTTTTGTGGGTTTTTTTTTTTGTTTGTTTGTTTTTTTAGGTACTGAGATTTAAACTCACGACCTTGCATTTACTTACAAGGCAGACACAGCACTGCTGAGCTAAGTCCTTGGTCCTCTAAGTATTATTTTAATTTGCACCTTTCAAATGACCAGTGATGTTGAACATTTTTTCATGTATTTATTTGCTGTTTGAACTTCTTTATCTGAGAAATGCCTGTTCAACTCAGATGTCCATTTTTGGATTGAGTCTTTAAATTTGGGGGGGGTCTGATTTAAAAAAAAAATTTTTTTTGGTACTGGGGATCGAACTCGGAACCTTGAGCTTGCAAGGCAGGCAGCGGAACCACTGAGCTAAATCCCCAGTCCCCCTACCCCTTTTTAAAATTCTTTATATATTCTAGATATTGGTCCTTTGTCTAAGGAACAGCTGGCAAAATTTTTTTCCCACTCTGTAGGTTGTCTCTTCACTCTCTTGGTTTCTTTTGCTATGCAAAAGCTTTTAGTAAGATGAAATTCCAGGTGATTCTGTATCAAATTTCCTGTGCAATTTGAGTTTTGTTCATAAAGTCTGCCTACACCATTGTCTTTGAGTTGTACCAGCAGATTTAGTGTTTCTGTTTTAGAATTTAGATCTTTGATCCATTTTGATTTTAGCTTAGTGCATGGTAAGAGATACGGGTCTAGTTTTAATCTTTGACATGTGGAAAGCTAATTTTTCCACCACCATTGATTGAAGAAGCTATCTTTCTTCCATTGAAGGTTTTTGGCTCCTTTGTCAAAGATAAGGTGGCTGAGTATGTTTGGAGTTGTTTCTGCATTTTCTGATCTGTTCCCTTGATAGTTTCAACCTCCTGAGTGCTGGGAGGAATGAGCATTGGATTTATTCTAAGAAACTTCTATGAGAATTCAAATAGTAATCTCATCCACCTCTCTGACCCAGCTACAATGATGTTCAACCAAGTATCTAAGCATGTCATGGTTCAGTCAAATTGACACATAAAATTAACTACTGCAGGGCCAGGGATGTAGCTCAGTGATGAAGAGCCTACCTGACAAGTGTGAGGCACGGAGTTCAATTCCTGGTACCAAAAAAGAAAAAAGAAGGAAAAAAGTTAACCACCACAGCAACCATATATTTAAATGTACTTATACTAGAGAATTTAACACATTCTGTCTGTGGATATTTGAGTCATGCCCTGCCCCCACTAGTGAGTTGTTCTTTTCTTGAAAATCCATAGGACTCATTATCATGCAACACATAATTAGAACTGAAAAAACTTTTTTAATAAAAAGAAATTACTCAGATGGCCAAAGTAGATGATGTAATCAGGATGGCTCTATTTTATTCTCTTTATACAGTTAATATGTATTTCCTTTTATTTCAAGGTATATCTCCATGAATAACTTAAATGATCCTCCAAATTGGAACATCCGGCCTAATTCCAGAGCTGATGGTGGTGATGGAAGCAAGTGGAATTATGCCCTATTGGTGCCAATGCTGGGGTTGGCAGCTTTTCGTAAGTCATGGCTTTCTGACATTTCTGTTTTCTGGGCTAAAGATGTGGAACGCAGCTTAGGACTGCAAGGGGCTGGCCCCTGAAGACTGTTGCTTTTGAATTGGACAGGTATAGCCCGGTTTTATCCCATAACAGTGACTTTCCTCAGCCTCAATTTACCTGTCCCTGCAAATGACTAATCACATTTACCTCAGCACATTGTGATGATTAAGATAGAAGTATATAGAAGCATTTTATGTGGAATAGATTTTAATAACTGTTTGCTCCCTTCCATGGCTTCAGGGCTCTGGACTTCTTTGGTTCATCGGGACTGATGGGAAAAACAGGCCTAAACAAAACATGTTGGGTTGTATGTTTAGTGTTTAGGAAGTCAGTCTTTGGGAGACTTTGACTGTGAAAGCTCTACCCATCCTGGTTAGAAATCCCCTCATGTGAGTTGACTTGGCACAGCAGGGGTCCTTACCACTCAAACAAATTTACAACACCCCAGTCTGTGATTTGTGTCCCCACCCATGATTAGTCCACTGATGTGGAGGAGTTTGTAGGATTTACCTCACATACTGTGATTCTGGTTGGCATTGAAGACTATGAGAAACTGAAAAATTGAATGAAAAAAAGTAAAAACCACCCACTGTGTGTTGTGGTCCTTTTGTGTGCCTGGATTGCCCAGATCAACAAGTTGACTGTAGAGGAAGTGGAGGCCAACAGGAGCAGGGGGCCTTCACTGTTCAGGGATCTGTGAGCTCCTGCAGGCATCCAGATTCAGCCCTGTGGGTACCATCTAAAGGCTTACAGAGTATCAGTCAACACCAGAAGAGGCTGCTGCTGCTAGTGGCTAGGATGGACTTTCACTCAAGGAGTGGCCTGGTAGGCTTAAAATCACACTTAATTAAGGTAGTAATTATCCAACTTTGAGGCTGGGAAAGGTTTTCCATTTTTCATATTCATTGTTGCTGTTATAGTTGTTCATAATGACTTCAAATTCTTCCCTTCTCTTGGACATTCAAAATGCTTTCTGTCCCTGAGAAAGGTTGAGGATGTGATCAGAGATAAAATTTAATATTTGCATTTTTATAAGGAGTCTCTAAAAATGTGTTACTATATGTCTGCAAAGTTGCCTTGCAACCAGGTATTAACCAGCTTTGGCATGGTCCAGAAATAAAAGCAGATTAATGAATTCTGTACTTGATCAACACTTAATGGATTAATAAGAGGCTAGTTTTATCCTGATCATTTGAACTTGGTAACTTTTGACACAACAGAGAGACTAATATACTTGTGCCCACCAAAGGCAGTCCCTGGCAACATTGTTGCTCTGAGTAGCTAGGACAGTATCTGGCCTTTCACCCTCTGTCAGACTGTGCTCTATTGCTCACTTCTGCTATGTCCTGTCTTTCCTTTCCCATCTCTCTGTGCTCCTTCCCCTTTTGCATTCCCTTACCTCCTCTTTTGTCTCTTCTCCTAGAAAGCACAGTCTTAGAGCTGAATGGTACTCATAGAGAACATTTAATCCAACTCCATTTTTTTAATTGAATGTTTTATTTTGAGACCATTGTAGGCCACATGCAGTTGTGATAAGTAGTCCAGAAAGCTCATATACACTTTACCCCCATTCCCCTGAGTAACATCTTGTAGAACCATACAATGTAGGGTTGCAACCAGATTCTGACCTCAGCACAGGATGTCGCCCTTTATAGCCATGCTTTGCTCCATGCACTGTGGTCTAGAATGTCATGTAGATAAAAATCATGCTGTGTAACCTTTGGGGCTAGCGCTTTCACTCAGCATGAACCCCAAGAGCCATGTAGATTGTTGCTGTCTCTGTAACTCATTGACTATTCTTACTGCTGAGCAGTGCATTTAACCATTTGCCCACAAGATATCTGGGTCATCTCCTGTTTTTGGCTACTATAAATAAAATACTACCATTGTTCTTTTGTATAGGTTTTTGTGTGAACTTTAGGTTTTCATTTCTCTTGGGTAAATGGCCACAAGTGCAGTTTTTGGGTTTTATGGGGGTGGTATGATTAGTTTTTAAGTTTTTAAAACTTTTTTTCTCAAGTGGTTGATGCAGTTTCCCAGCATGTGGTTTTGTTGTATGTTTCTTTGCGAGCCATTATTATCCTTTTTTAATTTTAGTACTGGGGATCAAACTCAGGACCTTATACTTATAAGGTAGGTGCACCACTGAGCTAAATCCCCTACCTGGGTACTATGTCTTAATTTTGGTTTTATTTTGCTTTTCCCTGATGGCTAATGATGTTGAGCATCACTTTACATGCTAAACTATCAGGATATATCCTCTTCTATCAAATATCTGTTTGTGTTTTGGGCCATTTTCTAATTGAATTGTTTGTTTTTATTTTTATTTATTTTTTTTAAGAGTAGGAAAAATTTACTGAGGGAAAGAGAGACAGAAGGGGGACCTCAAAGTGGGTTGTCCGCTCACCCCACTTCTCCAAGATGTTTTATATAGCAAAGCCATGTGGTGAGGCAGTTACAAAGTGGAACAAAACTGTAAGGCCCAATGGAAAATTACAAGGTGGGCATGAGGTGGGGCAAAACCATGACCAACCAATAAGATTACAAATACAGTCACCCAGGTAATATTGATCAAATGGGGTCAAATGGGGAAGCAAGTCACGTGACAAGCATACATGAGGATTTTCAGTGTGAGGGTCAGGGATAGTTCCTGGAAAGGCTGGGTTAAGACCTTGACCCCCAACCAAGGTGATTGAAGCCTATTTAGAATATCAATCACCACTATTAATGGGGGGGGCAAAGGTACAGTAGCTTCCTTTTACAGCTCTGGCCTTCAGTGAATGTGTCTTGATCGTCCTCCGTGTTGGCTCTTTGCTGTGTTGGCTCCTTGAGGGTGGCCCTGTCTAACTGCCTACAAGATATCTGATTAACTTACCTATCTGTAATATTCCCCCCTCTAAAGAAGTACCCCTAACTGCTGTGAGGGGGCAAAGGGCAAAGACAGCTTTGGCTACTTCCAGCTGAAGAGGGTTGTAATTGTGATCAGCAGTTAGAGTTACTATACAGAGGATCTGTCTAAAGGCCTTTGGTAGGCACCTGGCATTGTCATCTTAATAGCTTCATAGCTTTTAAATCTGGTGGAGACAAAGCCAAAGAAACAGTTAAAAATGTGTGGGACAAATTACAAGGTCAACAGGATTGCTGTGAATATATCTCTCAAAGAGGATAACAGAGAAGGTCCAGGGAGCTTCAGAATCCAACATAGAAGTCATATTGTTTAGTTTAGAAGTTTGAGCTGTTTATAAGGTTGATCTGGTGGATTCCGGTAAAAGAAGTCTAGCACATTTGTCACTGGTTCCATTTGTATGACTGCTTGGAGTTTAGCAGCCTCAAAGGTGTAGGATCCTGTAGAAAAGGTTCCTTTGTGTCCTGGATCTTGTAGAATTTGAGTGGCCAGGGCCAAAATATTGGCTGTCCTCATAGCCCAGTTACCTTTCTAGTTTTGGTCTCAAACTTTCTGGAAGCTTTGTCTTGAAATCACAGGAGGGAAGTGCCTTGAATTAAATACTGTTGAGAACTCCAACTGGTAATCTCTTGGTGGAAGACCTCCAAAATAATGTAGGGGGAAGAGATGTAACTCCCAAACCCGCTAGATATCTGAAATGTGAGTTTGTGTTCTCTAAAATTGAAGAATTAATTCTAGGAACAACAGAGGTTAAGAGTAGGAAAAATTTAATGAGGAAAAGAAATCTTCTGTCTAAGAGACAGAAGGGGAACTGGAAATGGGGTTGCCCCTGGGTTGTTTGTTTTTAAATGTTGAGTTTTGAGAGATTTTAATATATCCTTGATTCTAACCTTTAGCTGAATATGTGGGTTTGCAAGCATCTTCTCTTTGTCTAGCTTGTCTTTTCATTCTCTTAACTGTCTTGTAGAGCAAAAAAAGGTTTAGTTCTTGTGAATCATGTTTTATTATTTTTCTTTTTCTAGATTGTGCTTTTTATGCCAAGTCTAAGAACTCTGCCTAACTGTAAGATTTTCTTCTTGTCTCACTTGTAACCTCCAGGATTCTGTTGGGTAGTCTTTGATCTTCTAGGGAAAGCACTCAGTCTTTTACCATTAGGTACTGGGTTAGCTGTAGGTTTTTGTGGATACCCCTCACCAAATTAAGGATGTCCCCTTTTCCTATTTTTTGTGATTGGGTTTTGAATACTTTTTGTTTTATTTTTGTTGGGTTTTTTTTGTTTGTTTGTTTTTGTTTTGCTTTGAGAGAGAGTCTCACTATGCAATTCAGGCTGGGCTTGAACTCATATAGCCCAGGCTGAACTCAAACTCATGGTGCTCTCCCTGCCTCAGCCTCCTGAGTACTAGGAGTTCAGGCATGTACCACCAAACCTGGCTTTGGGTGTTACATTTTTAGAAATTTAAAAAATATTTTTTAATTAAAAAAGGCTTTCAACAAAATCCAAAATCCTTCATGATAAGAACCCCGAAGAAAACTGGTATAGAAAGACCATACCTGAATTTGTTAAAAGCTATTTATGATAAACCAACAGCCAACATCATATTAAATGGGGGAAAAAAGCACTCCCTCTAATCAGGAACAAGAGCATCCAGGAACAAGACAAGGATGCCCACTATCATAACTTCTATTTACTGTAGTACTTGAAATATTAGCCAGAGCAGTCAGGCAAGAGAAAGAAATAAAAAGGACGCAGACAGGAAAGGAAGAACTCAAATGATCATTATTTGCAAATGATATGATACTCTACATAGAAGACCCAAGAAGCTCCACCAAAAAACTCTTTATCACAATATCATTAAGAAAAAGGAAATATCTAGGAACTGACCTAACCAGGGAAGTGAAAGACCTTCACAAAGAAAACTACGTTACTCTGAAAAAGGAAATTGAAGAGGAATCATAAAATGAAAAGATATCCCCTGCTCCTGGATAGGCAGAATCAATATTGTCAAAATGGCCATAACTGGTATACAGAATGGCCCCAAACTGGTATACAGAT